TTCAAACAACCCACAAAATAAAGATGCAACACTTGGGGCCAGCTTGGAACCCATGCTGACCCCTGAGATCTGCAAATTGTAATCTGACACAAACAAAAAATTATGTGAAAGCACCAATTTTGCCAAGTCACTCAAACATACAGTGCTTGGAACCTGACAAGGACGTTGATCGAGAAATTTTTTTATTGCCTCTAGCCCTCCCTGAAATGGAACATTGGTGTAAAGCGATTCAACATCCATGGTGACTAGAAGGACAGGACAATCAGGTTATGTCACATTATTAATGAGTTCGATAAAATCCATCGTGTCTCTAATATAAGAAGGTAAAGACGTGACTAAAGGTTGTAAATGGAAATCAATGAAAGCCGATATTTTTTTCTGTAAGTGACCCAATTGCTGCCAATATGGGTCTCCCAGAAGGGATATCCCTATAAGGTTTATGAATTTTAGGCAGCGTGTATAGTACAGGTGTAATCGGATGCTCAACACACATATACTCATATTCATTTTGTCAACAAACCTGAATCCACAAAGAGTTTTAAAGTATTGTGTACAGATGTTTTGTAATGATGTTTCTGTATGTCAGAAAAGAAAAGAATCAAAAATATAGAATATAGAAGATTTACCCATTTTTTTGGGTTAAAGCTTGGTGTATGACAAAAAAAAAACATTAGAAAACAGCATGTTCTATATTGAAGTATGATTGAAACTACATTTTTCAGATTTTCAGATTGGAGCTGTTTTTTTTTTGGTTACTATTTTACCCATGTTAACAAACTTTCAAGACTTTAAAACTTCCAAGTTTATAACTGACCACTTCTAAAAGCAAATTTATAGTTGTCTTTGTAAAGAAATATGTAGCTTTTGAGCCGCTGCTGTGACAGTGTGAATACTCTCACGAGTCAGCAGCTGCAGTGACAATGCTACACTGACATGAAGTTCAAGATTACGGTGTGAAATCGGCCAAGACTTTTGTTTTGAGAGATTTCTGTTCCTCCATAGAAAGTCCCTTCCACCAAAACTTTCAAGATTCATAAAGTTTATAAAGACATTGTAAAAGTAATCCATATGAATACAGTGGTTTAATTAGGCTTTTATTCACATAAAAACATTGACAAATGGTAGTTTAAATGTGCTTACTTCACTTGCGAGAACCCATGAGGTTTGTTCTTGCATGTCACAGAATCTTGTTTGATCTTCGGCAAGAACTAGTGTGACAGGCGAGTTGAGCTTTCATTTACCCTCTTTGATGTAATCGGTGTGCTCAGATCTTTGAAAATAAAGTCCTAAATTAAATATATTCATCATATAAAGTTAATCCTCTGATTGCAAGTCGAAATTGAGAATCCAAACAATTTGTAAGCTGGGAATGTTCTGAGAGTTACGACTTGGACCACGTGACCACTATACCACCTGTCTGCTGCAGATTCATTTTGGCACTAGTCAAATACTGAGGTGCTAAACCATTCAGGTGTTGATGTTGTCATGTTGTGATGTCATGATGTTGTAATTCCGAGTCCGAGGACAGCTCAGAGTAGAATGTCATGTGTTGTCATCTCGAAATTATGGTAATTATGACGTGGCATAAACGTAGCTTATGACTATGACAATTTACTTAATAAAATGCATGAAAACATGAGCATAAAACCTACAACAGACTTGACAAAAGTCATTGTGTCTCTTAAAATAATCTTTTGGTTCATATGAATTACTTTTACAAACTTTTTAAAGCATTAACGTTTAAGATACTGAATAATATTTCAGTAGAGGGACTGAAATCTCTCAGATTTCATTACAAATATCTTCATTTGTGTTTTGAAGATAAAAATTGTATGGGCTTAGAACGACTAGGTGTGTAAATGACAATTTTCATTTTGGGGTGAACTAGCCTTTTAATTGATCAAAGAAGAAGCCTCCAAATATGTAAGTGTAGTGTTGAAGAGCTCTGCATTTCAGTTTTATCTTTTTACAATTAATGTTTCAAACTTATTTTGCATAACATAACTATTAATTAAACAGTATTTAATAAAAGATCCATTGAGATAATAATGAAATAAAAATGATTATATATCTACACAGGAAAATAATATTTATGACATACCTAAAACAAATAAGGGATAATAAATATTAGTTTTACAATAGCTATAGGAATTTATCTTATTTTAATTATTAAATTTTTGGGGGTTAAAACCTGACGCGTGACAGTGGGTGACACACCGCTAAGGGGACCGTTTTGATCAGTGTTGTGCTAAAGAGACAATATTAAATCAGTTCCATTTCGGTCCTTGGTAGTGCAACTGAAGCAAACAACCAACTATGAGTGGCAAGGCACTGTCAAAACATCTCCGGGATAAAGTTGTGGACAGGCACAAGTCAGGAGATGGTTACAAAACAATTTCAAAGGCTTTATCAATGTCTAGAAGCGCAGTGAAGTATATTATTAAGAAGTGGAAGGTATTTGGTACAAGTTGAGGAAACTGTTCAGAGAGGCTACCAAGAGGCCTACAGCAACCCTGAAGCTGTTGTAGGAATTTATTACAAAGAGTGTGCATGTGAAAACAATATTACACATTTTCCACAAATGTGGCTTGTATGGGAGGGTTGCAAGAAAAAAACCACTCCTCAAGAAAAGCCACATGCAGTCAAGACTGAGTTTTGTCAAAATGCACCTTGAAGAATCTGAGGCAGATGAAACTAAAATTTAATTATTTGGCCTCAACACCAAACGATATGTCTGGTGAAAATCCAATACAGCTCACCATCCAAATAACACCATACCTACAGAAAAGCATGAAGGTGGTAATATCCTGTTATAGGGGTGTTTCTCTGCAGCAGGGACTGGAGCACTTGTCAGGATAGAAGGAAAAATGGATGGGGCAAAATACCGTCAAATTCTTGAGGAAAATCTGCTGCCCTCTCCCAGAAAGTTGTCAATGGTAAGAAGGTTTACCTTCCATGACAAATATTAACTAAACTTGAGCAGTTCTGCAAAGAAGAGTGGGCAAATGTTGCAAAGTCTAGATGTGCAAAGTTAGCAGAGACATCTCCCAACAGACTAAAGGCTGTAATTAAAGCAAAAGGTTGTTCAACAAAATACTAACACAAGGGGGTGAATCTTTTTCCAACTCAGTAATTCTGCTTTTTTTAAATAAAAAAAAAAAAAATAAAAAAAAAAAAAATTCCTGACATGTGGTGTTATATCTTTCACTTGGATGTTATAAGTTGCACTGAGTAAATACAACTGGATAAAACAAAAACTGTGTCAGTCTTCATTTCAGGTTGCAAAGCAACAAAATGTGATTATTTTAATGGGGGGTGATTCTTTTCTATACCAGCTGTATTCCTGCTCGGTCTCAAAGGGATAGTCCCCCTAAAAATGAAAATGTGCTGTTAATTTACTCACCGTCAGACCAGGCAAGATGTAGGTGACATTTTTTTCTTCAGTAGAACAGTAAAGATTTTTAGCTGAAACTGTGGTCCTTGGTGATTCATATAATGCGAGTCTGTGGCTGCCCGTTTTTGAGAAAAAAAAAAGCATATCAAGGAACACAAAATTAATACCCCTGGCTCCTGATGGTATATATACACACATCAGCACTCCAGTTACTCCAAAAGTTACTGAACTGAGGAAACAGTTCTGACTCAGATCGAAGACCGATGAGCTGGTGATAATAAGGTTAAATTAGTTTAAACAACTTATTGATAGCATCTTTTTTGAAAGTTCTTTTGTTTCTTATATGTCTCCAGAGTTTAAAAAAATATTTTTGGTGTTTTTCTGTTGCTGGACCATGGATTGTTGCATTAGATGTTCACTTCATTGATCACTATAAAACAGCACAGTTAGATTATCTTGAATTGCAATATGGGACCAACAGTGTAGTTGTTCAACTCAGCAAATACATTGGGGTGTTTAAATGGCATTCTGCAGTGTTAAACATTGCCAGTGAATTGCTTCCACTCCAACTCTCAGTGTCCCAGTGGTGGCTTAAGTGCTTAGATGTGGTGCTTAGATCCGGTGCTTAGATGTCTGAGTGGCGTAGGGACTGTTAAAAGCACTGTTGTAAGCCCCATGTTACTGGCTGGTGTCTAGTCAGTGTATCCCTGAATAGAGCAATGGTTTACTACTCGATGTACTGTAGCATGTCTTTGCTGAGGAGAAGTAGGTTTATGTTGTGGCAAAGTTTTGGTAATGATGACCATTTTTCATATAAAATAGAGCTTATTTAAAGGGATGCACTAATAATACCCCTGGCTCCTGATGGTATATATATAAGTTGATAACTAGATAATGTCACACTAACCTGCGGCGAGGAGACAAGGCGTAAACTCATAAATGTCTTTTAATCCAGAAATCCAAGGGGTAACATGGAAACACAGGAGACTCAGGGGGTAGACGTACAACGACGTTGAGAACCGACAAAGGAAGATTACACAGACTGGGGCTAATGAACAGCGCAATCAGGGGAACACAGGTGCATGGAATCATAATCAAATTAACACAATTAACATGAGGAGAACCTGGCTAATGGGGGCAAAACACACACAGACAGCCCAGAACCCTGACAGATAAGTTGCTATTGTAGATGCTACACAGGAATTTAGACATCACAACAATATATATATATATATATATATATATATATATATACTGTATATAAACAGTATGAAAAATATAATTTTTTTAGCATAATGTAAAGTTTACTTTTGACAGTGTTATTACATTTTAAAATTATTGCATCCCTACTTTTTATTTTGTGTTGTAGAATAGATGATAGCATGCTAATTATGCACATTGCTTTGTGTCAGTTGGGTAAATGTAATTGTAATTTTCAATCAACAAAATATGGCTTAAAATGCAAGATGTTTTTTTCTTGTAAGCCTGTAAGTTATCATAATTTCATTTTAATTGGTTATGTTTTATTAGTGTTTTTCAAGGAACCCGCACAATTGCTGCAGGAATTTGAACACAAACTGACACAACTCACTGTTGATTTCACTGTTGTAGGGGAAAGACTCTAGAGCGGTTGCTATGGTGCTGAAGGAGCTACCAAGTAAGGCATCCTCAGATGGAAAACCCCTGCTCACCGTGACAACCAAGGTGGGCTGAGCACATACACCCACCGACAGAGAGCACCAAGCGTGAGTGTGACTATGTGAATAAGGGAAGTAAAAAAAAGAGCTTGGTGCACCCTGTTTTGAATATCCATTAGTGTTACACGACACACATGAGCCATACAGTGGGAAAAATATTTATTTGATCCCCTGCTGATTTTGTAAGTTTGCCCACTTACAAAGAAATGAAGGGTGTTTTTATGGTAGGTTTATTTTAACGTATAGAGACAGAATACCAACCAAAAAATCCAGAAAAAACACATTATATAAAGGTTAGAAATTGATTTGAATTTCAGTGAGTGAAATAAGTATTTGACCCCCAAGCAAAACATGACTTAGTACTTGGTGCAGAAACCCTTGTTGGCAAGCACAGAGGTATGGCTGTGCAAAAAATTGAATGCGATTTTCATGCGCATCTCGTCAGTAAAGCCGCTCCTGTGATTAGTAGTAAATCTCCAGCACGTGCTTTCAGATGGAGCGGCATTTACTACACAGAGCTGTAGTTCACTGACAAGCTACACAAAATCGCAGGTGATTCATTGCCGATTTTTTGTAGTTGGTCACCAGGTTTGCACACATCTCAGGAAGGATTTTGATCCACTCCTCTTTACAGATCCTCTCTAAATCCTTAAGGTCGTTTGGCAACTCAAAGTTTCAGCTCCCTCCACAGATTTTCCATAGGATTGAGGTCTGGAGACTGGCTAGGCAGCTCCATGCCCTTAATGTGCTTCTTCTTGAGCCACTCCTTTGTTGCCTTGGCAGTATGTTTCGGGTCATTGTCATGCTGGAAGACCCATCCATGACCCATCTTCAGTGTTCTGGCTGAGGGAAGGAGGTTCTCGTCCAAGATTTTACAGTACATGGTCCCGTCCATTTGCCCCTCAATGGGGTGAAGTCGTCCAGTACCCTTAGCAGAAAAAACAGCCCCAAAGCATAATGTTTCCACCTCCGTGCTTGACTGTAGGGATGGTGTTCTTGGGGTCATAGTCAGCATTTCTCTCCCTCCAAACACGGCGAGTCGAGTTAATGCCAAAGAGCTCAATTTTGGTCTCATCTGACCACAGCACTTTTTCCCAAGCCTTCTCTGAATCATTTAGATGTTCTTTGGCAAACTTTAAATGGGCTTGTACATGTGCCTTCTTGAGCAGGGGGACCTTGCGGGCGCTGCAGGATTTCAGTCCATTGCCAATGATTTGCTTGGTAATGTTTTGCTTGGTGACTGTGGTCCCAACTGCCTTAAGATCCCGTGTATTCCGGGGACGATCCCTCACCTTTCTCATGATCATCCTTACCCCATGAGGCAAGATCTTGCATGGAGCTCCAAACCAAGGCCGATTGATGGTTGTTATGTATTTCTTCAATTTCCGAATAGTCGCACCATAGTATCTGACATCCTTTGACAGCTCTTTGGTC